TATATAAATCTTCTCTCTTACTTTGATATAAATATCATATATAAATACAAAATATATATATATAAAAGTGTATATAAAAGATCATTAAGGATGAGTTAAGAGTTCCGCTGCGTCTAATTGGATATCGGCCGTTGCGCGCAATATGGCGACACATCCGGCGCGTAGCTTGCTTGTATAATTTCAAGACTTCTTGAGCTGCAGAGAAAGAGAGAGGATTGTAATCCGCATACACAGCTTGTCGTCTGTAAAATAAAACGACGCAGCGAAGCCGATATACGCACGTTGACGAGACGCATACGAATTTATCGCGTCGCGCCGCGTTGCATCCTCGCATGACCGTTGCTGCCAACCGTTAACCGTTAACGCCGCTGTTATTGCTGCCATCCGTCCGTGAGTGATCGTGCTCCATCAGTGACTTATCATGTACAGAACGACCCGGGCGTCGTCCCACCGTGTGAGAAACCGTGCCGATAACGTTGTCAAAGGTGAGGATACGTCGCGCATCGAAATTTTCACTCAACATTTAGCACCGGCCCCACAATAGGGTTATGTTTTGAATGGATCTTGTTTCCTCTCTCGCTCCATTTTGAACGCTATCGTAGAGACGCCTCCAGACTTTATGTCTCTCGACGTCTCGTACTTTCCATCGCGACATTTATCAACTCTTTTTCGAGAAATGTCGATCTTGTAATTTCTTAAACGCGAGAGTTGCTCTAATTATTGGACTGTTCTGATAACGATGGTTTTCGTTAGGCTGTAGTTCGTGATCTTTGCGGACTCGGCTTGGAGCACCTGGGTTAGATTCTAAATTAATATGGAGTATGATAGTTTAAGTTTAGGATGTCAGTTGCATAGCGATTTGTGTAGAAATATGTGAGATTAGTTTTGATTATGGAATTTTTAATTTTTAATGTAAATTTGTCATCCTTCTTTTTTTGGAATTTTTACAATTTAAAAATTATACAACTTTCTTTTTTTTTTATATAAAAATTTTTGTTTATCGAATTAGCAATTATATTTCTATAAATTTTATTTAGTGGTATATATTAACATATACATGTATTATGTTAACATATACATATATTATATCAAGTAATATTTATAAGTCAAAATCATAAAATATAAAAATTGATATCTAATATCAATTCTTTTTTATATTCTATATTATATTTCAACATTTTTATATATAATATAGCATTATTTTTCTTAATTTTAAAAAGATATTAATTGTTATTAATATATGTAATTAATGGCCTATACAGGAAGATGGAAACATGATATAGAAAAAAATATAACTGTATCTTTGCCTGTGCAAAGTAATGATGCAAATTCACCTGTGAAAAAGGAGAGTAAATTATTTGATATTAATAAAAAAGTGACAGATAGAGTTGATATAATTAAACCACAATCCATATTGGAAACTCATAAATCTTCTCCATACACAATTCATTCTTATCAAGTAAGTATCTTAAAATCTATTAAATATCTCTTAAATATAATTGTATTTTCATAAAAATATGTATGTAAAGTAAATATATTTTACTTACTGTGAAATACAAAATATATATATATATATATATATATATATTGTATATTGCAGCAAAACAATTCGAAATTTGTTAATTAAATATAATTAAAAATGGATGAAAACTTGTCTTTATTAAAAAATATTTGATATTTTAAAATTTTTTCTTGTGCAAAAAAAAACAAAAAATACAATTTATATTTTAGATGGTATGGTTTCGTGAGACTTGGTATGAAGAAGTTTTAAGACAATTGAGACAAGGTCTTGCGAAATGTTACGCTATAGCATTCGAGAACCGTGGAGCTGTTAGTGAAGCAACAATAACTCCGCATACTCTCAACTTTGTAAAGAAACTTGTATCGACTTTTGGTATTGGAATTGGTAAATTTACATTTGCTTCCTCTATCAACTAAAAAACGAAGATTGAATAAAAAGGAAGCGAGCTTTTCTAAAAAGTGTATTTTGCGATTTGTAGAAAACATCTCGTCTTCGCAAAATATGAGCAACTCATTTAGTTCGGCAGGGTCCGAATCTTTGGCACGTAGAGCCCAAGCCACAGTGCAAGATCCCGTTTTTCACAAGATGAAGGGTCAGTTCACAAGCGACTTTGACTTTACTGTGCCTGGGGCGAGGTTACTGCACAATCTCATCAACAAATTGAAAAAGTGGATAAAAATTCTCGAGGAAAAAACGAAACAATTGCCAAAGTAATATTTATATTTGAATTATTTTGCAATATACGCATGACTTGTTGAAGTAACAATTTGGTATGTTGAGTACAAATTCGCATATTTTTCCACAGATCTTTCTTAATCGAGGAAAAATGCCGTTTCTTGAGTAATTTTAGCTTGAAAACTGCAGAAGTTGAGTTGCCCGGTGAATTTCTGATACCTAGGGTAAGAGATAGTCAAATTCTGCTAAACTAAACTCCTTTTTCAATTGACGTACAATAAATAAGATTTCGCGTAAACAACATTCTTATTCTGCATATGTGTCATAAGAATATGAATTAAAACCAAAGGAAATATGGAAAATAGAAGATTGCTTAATTCTGAAATCTGAGATTATATAATATATTTGTAATTTATATTCATATAATTTTGTTTAAACATTTGATAAACTTTTGTGATTAAATTGAAAAATTCTTTGTCAATCTTTCTTATAAATCTTATTTCTTTCAGCATTCGCATTATTCCGTAAAGATAGCCAGATTTATGCCACGCGTTGAGGTTGTTCAACGACACAACACAGCCGCCAGGAGATTACGCATTCGCGGCCACAACGGTCGCCTTTATCCTTATCTGGTAGTGAACGATGCCGGTCTAGGAGACGCCAGGCGCGAGGAACGCCTCTTACAACTGTTGCGAATGTTGAATCACTACTTGACTAAACAGAAAGAAACGTCGCGAAGATTCTTACACTTTACGGTACCACGACTTGTCGCCGTTTCACCTCAAATGAGACTCGTCGAGGACAATCCGGCAGCCATTTCTCTCTTGGACATTTACAAGCAAAGCTGTGCCAAGTTGGGAATGGAACACGACGCACCTATCGCTAGATATTACGAGAAATTAGCCGCCGTACAAGCACGAGGCACGCAAGCTAGTCATCAAGTGCTACGAGATATTCTTAAGGAAGTGCAATCCTCAATGGTTGCGAAAACTATGCTCAAGGATTGGGCCATAAAGACATTCCCCGGCGCCACCGATTACTGGACATTCAGAAAAATGGTATTTTGAAACACTGGTGGCTTAAAGCATAAATATATCGCAAATCCGCAATTTTTGACTAAATTTGAATTGATTTTGTATTGCATAAAGATATAGCTCCTAGTGGACAGATCACCGCACATTTTTTTAAAAATAAATCTAGAAATAAGTTATATAAACTATTTAAATAATTGTGTTTTCTATGCAATTTCATCGTAATTAATACAAGAATTGAAAACTTTTTAAGTTAATAACAGATTATGTTCTCTTGCAAAATTTGACATGCAAAATTTAACCTTTCGTTCTATTCATTTTATGTATCTGGAATGCAAAAAAGATAAAAGTTTAAAGAATGCTTTATTTCCTTTTTACAAGAACTTTCTTTTTTCAAAAGAATTTAGCTACTGATATAAGATTACAACTACTATACATTATATACATGTTTATCTTTTTTTATTTTCAGTTCACGCTGCAGCTATCTCTGACTTGCTTTGCCGAGTACGTGCTTCATTTAACGCGGCTTAATCCTGATATGATGTATGTGCATCAGGATTCCGGTTTGATCAATATCGCATATTTCAAATTTGACATTGATGACACTTCCGGAGAGTTAGACGCGAACAGACCGGTACCCTTCCGTCTGACGCCCAATATCCTCGAATTTCTCACGACTACAGGTACAGCCATATACAATCTATTCTTCTCACCGCGGCACGATGAGAGATATCTAGATACGAATACCATCTTTTGTATATTTAGTTGCATATTTTCAAGTACTTGTATGTATTAAAACGGATACTTTCACTGCTTTTATAAACCCAATAATATGAAGGCAATTATCAAATTCTGTCAGGCTTAGTTACTTTAATTCGCAATTAATCATTTGTACAGGAATTTGCGGACCATTGACCGCCAGCGCGATCGCCACGGCGCGCTGTTTGGTTCAGCCCACGTTTCAATTACAGGCGATACTCCGCGCGATTCTGCGAGACGAGGTGATCGCGGATCATAAACAGCAGGAGGACGCCGAAGGTGCATCACAAGCGCCGACCGATCTGAAAGGCGAGCTCCTGATAACGATGGTGACCCGCGCGGTTACCGCGATCGTTACAAGACTGAACTCTCTGGCAAATTTCGACGGTATCGATAGTAAGGTCAGCACCTTGGTTGCCGCCGCCAACAGTCACGATAATCTTTGCAGAATGGATCCTTCATGGCATCCCTGGCTGTAAAATCGAGTACACGCGTCTGGTCTTGCAAAAAAAAATCGTACTGCCAACGAATGAGAAGAAATGATTGTTATCACTAAATTCTTTTTATAGTCTTCTCTTGCCTGGTAGGTATATTGTATTTCACAATACTATCCTTCGCATCTGGATTGAAAAGTTATCAGAAAATGAGGGAAAATAAAGATAAATATTTGAAGATACAAAATATTATTTATAATTAATATATGATATATAATACTATACATAGTTACTATTATCTATATATATTATTGGATGACATGTACAGCATGATAAGACGAAACTGTAAATTGCGTATTTTATATACTTCAACAGTCACCTCTTAGCGCGCGCGCGTGTATATTTATTACATTATTCATAGATTCGTTTTTTTTCACCAAAAGGCATAATATTTCAGTGTATGTAATATAAAATTTCTTTTTCAAGTGTCTTTTTAGCATATTGTGTATAAGCTTTATATTTTGAATATAGTTTGAATAGATTTAGTAAAAATAATTATCTTGAGAGAGACAAAAAATAAATATAATGCGTCAAATTTTTATTTATTATAAATAATTTGGTCATTTGAAATATATGATATTAAATGTAAAGAAGATTTTTCAAGGAGAATAAACGCGTTGCTTTTGAATATATTTACAGTTTCTATATAGATCTTCTACACATATCTATATGTGAAAAGTGAAAACATGTAAATTAAAAAATTCTTCGAGAAGCTTGCCACAAAATTTATGCATAAATATAGATCTTTTACAATAAATTCAGTAAACATTATACTACATATTAAAAAGTGTGCGTGTTAAAACTATACACATTATACATAAAATAATAGATTATAATTTTATTAATGCTTACATAGTATTTATTTACAAAAATACACAACTTATTGTATTTTTAGTATAACTTATTGAATTAAATGAATTGAATACAACTTAGTAAATGTCCTAGCAATTCTTTAAATGTATATATTATATTATTGCATTATTATTTTAAATTATCACAATTAGAAATTTCCTTTCCTAACTAGACATGTAATTATTTTGTATGTGCTTTGGGCAACTAAACATCATAAACGAAAGATCTATAGTAAAAATATGATAAGTCTATAAATGAATACCATTTTACATTTTATTTCATATTTTAAATGATCTTACAAATTATATAGACTTATCATATTTCTGAAGTGTTTTAACATGTATTAGATATATTCAAAAGAGAGTACTTTGCGTTGATGCAAAATAGCCTATATAAATTATATAACACACATACATCAGTTATCACATACATATACACAAAGAATTTTTTCAGACGCTTAATGTACAAATATATCATATACAGTTGCCCTGTTAATTTAGCAATAGATAGAATTAATAAGGACAGGAAAAATATTATATATATACAAATATTTATAGGTATATCTATGATATCTTTTCTGATCACAACTTAATCACAATAAAATCACATTTAGAAAAACATCCTGTTCTAGAACAAAGTTCTGTATGTTTATTTCGTGGGCTTCAAGTTAATATTCCGCAACATGCATAAGTCTCGTGCAGTTGCCATGCGCCCGATCATGGTTTGTATATCGTATAATCGTAGTAGAATATCAGTCGTGAACAATTCGGGTAATGCTTTGAGAAGACATGGTACCTAAAAATAAATATACAAACTTACTAATGATAATTACAAAATAATTTATTAATTAATTAACATAGATATTGAGAAGTAAAAATAAAATCTACTACTAGTATATAAAAATACATTGTATAACATACCAGAGTTTGTGGCATTCCCTGCAACACAATACGAGTTCTATCTTTTCCGCATTGTACTGTAAATCGCAGGAACTGAAATATAAAATGGGTCTGTTGGCACACCTCTCCATCTCTACCAGCTAGGAACGCGAACATGGTGAACAGATTGTTCAACGCAGTCATAAGTGGATCCCTCAGAACGACCATAGATTTTTGTCCATTATTCGAACCCTGCGCTTGTGGACTTTGTGAACCGAACATGGGAACACTCTCGCCCGTTTCGTTTAGTCGCAAGAGCTTATTAGACATGCCTAATGAATCTAAATCGTCCGCGTCCAAGTCACGCCGCACGCGCTTACGACTGTTACTCCGATATGGATTCGAGTTGTTGTATTCCAAAGTGGAAAATATACAATAAACACATAATTTTGCCAGGATAGACGACTGCGGTTCTACAAGCTCATCGCTTCTACACAACAAAATTAACAAACATAACATAATATTTTATTTATATGCAAGTGTATGAAAGATAAATGTAACAATATGTGATGAACTTACTGCAACGAATTGTCCAAGTATTGCGGTATTAGGTGATTTATGAGATCCAGAGTGCAATTCTCTATATCAAGATGGAAAATGGCAAAGGCCAGATCTACAGCTTGATCCAATTCTTCTTGGTAACGATATTTCAATACTTCCTTTACAATATTCGTAACAAACCATGAAGAACCACCAGTATTTAACAGAGATTCTAGTGACTGTGTAGCTTGTATGTTTATCCACCCACGTTGATTTATGTTCTGCCAAACAGATTCCAATTGTTCCAGTATCGGCTGCCGTGAAATAATGCTGCACATATAAAAAAGCCGTGAAAATGACTATTTCAAAAACAATAATAAGAATTAATTTTTATAGAGCATCATAGTACCTATGGGACATTGAAAGCACCTTTGTTTTCGATTGTGTAGGCGGATGTACATCATATTGCATTTTCCGAATTATTTGAAACATTAAGCTAGATCTGTGCAAAAGGATAAAGAAGCTTAAATCCCACATAATATTCAAAAGAATATTCAAACATATAATAAGTTCATGTTTTCATTTAAGGACAAATGGAATTATATATTTTTTTCTTTGCTAATTATGCAATGATCCTATTTTTCTCTTATGCTAATACACGTACCTCTCTTTAAGATTGTCCTGCATATCGTCACCCGGCAACGGCGTTAGAAAGTGCTGAACCATATTCATTGGTTTCAATAGAGCGTCCTGGTGCGTAATGCTCATGTATGCGCAAAGCCATGCTGCGGCGCAAACTGGTAGACAGCACGCCGCCGTACGCAAACCGTCCAGAGCCATTTTGACATCGCCGGCGCCCAGCACACCGCTCTCCCACGCGCAGAGTAACTCCTTCACCGCACCCATCGCTGACTGGCACACGACGTGCCATTTCAAATTACTCGACTTGAAATCAGGATCTGGCGAATTTAATTGCGTTAACAGAGTATCCACTCTCGCCGGATCAATGCTCTGCAACATTCTCTGTGGTGACTTTGGCTTCTTTCTTTCAGGCATGCATTCGCGCACCCATTGTTCGAAAAACGAATCCCCGCCTTCTTCTAAGACAACCTATGAGCCAATTCACATCTATGTTACATAATATATATGGAATGTAATCGAATATATAAAGTTATAAAGTCTTTCTAAATTTCGAATGGGGAGCAAACTTACATCGGAGCCATACGTTTGCACTATGGAGCACAACATAAGGAATGATACATCGAATGACATTGCTCTCGTCGCTGCCGTTTTGCCAGGCACAGGTTCATTGATCTGTTTACTGCATTCATTGAGCTTGATAAGTTTGGTAACGAAAGTCTTAAGCTTCCCTTCTACTGTTGCCACAGCCAGCATTAATTCAAAACTGTTCAAAACATGATACAACATACTCAATAAGGAGCTCTTCGTGTAATCAGCATTCAACGTCTTCAAGATGCCGGCTAGTGTCGGTTCCGCGCATATAATAACCTTTGGGATGGACGATGTCGGAGTGCTAGATGGTTCCAATTTTTGAAGAGCTGCTGTTACTCCCTCCCTAGAACGATTGCATGATAATCGGAAGTAATTTACGACGAACGAAATTTTGATAGAAATGTTTCACACATACAGCACATACATTACCTTCTCGCACTTATTTGCTTTGCCTGCTTCTCCGTCACAAGATTTACCTTCTGCAATTCATTTAGCAAACATTCTACATAATTACATGAGCATGTAGAATCCATTATATCGAGTAAAGGTGTAAACTGAAGTAACAATTCGAACGCATCTAAAATATCTTGCGAATACTCCATCTTCTCATCACCTATAAGAGTGTATGTGGAGTTATAAACTTCACTTGTGCAAACTTCGTTTTTCCGATATTTGGAGAATATCAAATGGGGCTTTACTCACTATTTACAGTAGTCGCGTGCAACTCTTTCAATATGAGAGGTACTTTTAAAAACATGAAAGCTCCCCATTGTGATTCTTTGAATGTTCCTGTCACATTGTGCAGACACATTAAACAAGCGCGAATTATCTCGCAATAAAGCCGAGCATTCGTATAAGTCTTTAACCTTTGCACCATCAATAGCTGATTGACAAACACAGTCGTCTCAGTGCTAGGATTTAATAACACTTGAACAGCAAAAAGTGGTTGTAAGCAATGAGTAATGGATTCCATTTTAATTTTCTCAGGACAGAGACTCTCGATCTCTAGATTGCACAATTTTTTCAAAGAATCCTCTATTGCTACTACAGACTTTTGACTGCTTGTCTTTAGTAATGTCTCGATCTCCTGACATTTCTTCACAACATCTATATACAAATCTGAAAAAGAAAATTGTGTATAATAAAAAGTAAAACATTAATTTTTTCAATATAAATCTTAAGTATATCACTAATTACATACTACCTTTGTCATCATATTTGGCTAGATACATCATCGCGCATAGAAAATCTGAATTCAGCACCTGCTGCAAAATACTGGCAGGTTTGTCTATTAGCTCACTTGAATGCAGAGTAAGAGGATTACTCTGTGGTACCTTTGTTAATGCATGCAAATAACATTGCAAGAGCCAATGAACAATAGATAAAACTGCGGCTGCTAAGAGATCCTCTTCTGGTTTACCGCGGCACGTGATACCAATTTGTATCGATTCTAGAAACTCGAGTAAACTCAAGATACAATGAGGTTTGTGAAATGCATCATATTTACTTATTCGCTGCAATACTGCTGCATATGACACCAACTACAAGATAACTTACAATATGAATCATTGATATATGTATATATATCTAAAATAAAGTTAAATGTTAAAGTAGGATAAACAAACCTGAGAGCTTAAGGAATGTTTCAGATATGACAGAACTAATTGATTAGGTCCTGGTCCTACTAATGCTTGTTGCAATATACAATCAGCTAAGTTATGTACATCACCGCTTACCCCCCTTGGAAGAATCTAAAAATTTGTTTTATTTCAGAACATCACAGATAGCATATTAATCATATTAAAACTGTTTATTTTTGGATGCTTACTGTTTTGATATTAATACCCCATTGCAAATCGGTCCATCGCTCTCGCCATGCTCGTAGCAATAAAGCTTTTAAACTACTGGTTTTACTAGTTACTTTAGTTTCCATTGGTATCATTAAAACATTATGCAATTTTTGCTACATTGAAGACGTCTATTCGTTGGCAATGAAAAAAACATCTTCCTAAAATAAAAAATAAGACAAGTAATAATAATATTGATTTTATATACAGAAAATATAAAGAGCAATTATTTTTTATTAAGTTCTTGAGTATAAATAAATATCAATTACCAACAGTTTATTAATATTGTAAGAATATAATACGATATTATTATTTACAATATTAAGCATAACTAATCTAAACTAACCTTTATAAAAAATTTGTCTTTTATCTTCGTAGAATAATATATATATATATATATATATATATATATATCAAATAATTTTTATTATAAATTCTTTGCCGAAAACAAATAATATTTATTATTATAAAAACATATCATTCTCTTATTTACTTTCTTTTTATAATATATTATTATCTTTAGGTATATATAGACTATAGGTAGGTTCTCTAACCTTAAATTAACGGGACCGAGCATAAACCATTGAACTCTATACATACTGGAATGAGCGATCCCATTGTTTGGCTGTCGCCACTATTTCGCCGAGAGAGAGGTGCGTTTGGATGATAGCATCTCTTTCTAGTATTACTTGATTGGTCCATGGCATGTCACGTGACATTATCTAAACTGAGAATGATGTCACGTGACATGCCATGGACCAATCAGGTAATACTAGGAAGAGATGTGAAAATTACAAAAATGAGAAAATTCACTAGAATATCTACGATTTCATTTGTCGAAATCTAGTAAATCTGCTCACTTTTGTAATTTTCACTTTGTTTCAAGATACACAATCGACTTCCTGCAGTCCATTCTATTAGCGTTTTTGAATGGACAGGTCAAAAAGTTACTAGCCACTGAAACGGAGCGAGTGCACATCAATCGAATTTGCCATAGTCTTTCATTGGTCAGAGACGATGCAATGACATCATTAATCAACCTTGGGTCGATCAAACCTGTTTCATTCGAAAACGCCGTATATGTCGATGGAGTAAATATACAACAAGATTAATTTCCATAAACTAGCATAAAAGAGCGCGAAATTTAAATTATATTCTTATGAACACATGTGCAATTTAAATAGAAGCATGACTAATATCAATTAAATCTCTTGCTGAATGAAAGTGAATGTGTTGCGCATATATGTGTAGTCAATTATATATCACGTTTTTTTTTTACAAATATATTTATTATAAACAGAACATAAATCAAGTATAAAAATGGAAAGAAATCGTATGCATGCATAAGAATATAGAACTTTAGACTGCCATATGATCTGATATGATTATACAAATACATGAAAATAAATCGGCGAAAAAATAAGTGGCTTCCAAAAAGCGCAAATATCAACATACATCAAAAGAAGAAGAGAAAATGGACATTTCATCATCATTGTTTGCTAGTCCGAATTGCCTTTGATAAAACATTGTAAGTGAATAATTTATAAAAAGAACATTACAGAACAAGTCCATAATAGGATCCAGTCTAGATATGTAAATTCATATTTAAAATTGATCTCTTATTAATGATATAGATTTATCATATTCCTCAGAAATGCTTTAACATATATTAGATACATGTTTTACAGATACTTTGCATTGGTGCAAAATATGTATAAATTGCCTATACAATCGCTGTTAAGGCATTGCGATGTTTAGTGTACAAATATATCGTGTATAGTTGCCCTGCTAATATAGCAGTATATTAAATGGGAATCATAGAATAAATATTATACAAATATACAAATATTTGAATATCTCTATGATGCTCCTGTTCACCACAGTAAAGAATCATGATTGTGAAGATATGCATTCTAATTTTATAACAAATAGTTGTGTTTATTTTGCAGGCTTCAAGTTAATATTACGCAACATGCATAAATCACGTGCTGTTGCCTTGCGCCCGATTACGGTTTGTATATCGTATAATCTTAGTAGAATATCAGTCGTGAACAACTCGGGTAATGCTTTGAGAAGACAGGGTACCTGAAAACAAACATACAAACATACTTATAGTTAATATTCTAAATAATGTGTATATATCTTACTATATGATTAATAGAAAAACTTTTCCACTTTTTGTTTCTTGCAAAATTTGTTATTTATATTGAAAACCAAAAATATATATGCTATTACAGCTACTATACACAAATATATCATATAACATACCAATGTTTGCGGCATTCCCTGCAACACAATACGAGTCCTGTCTTTCCCGCACTGCACTGTAAGTTGCAAAAACTGAAATATAAAGTGAGTCTGTTGGGATATTTCACCATCTCTACCAGCCAAAAAACCGAATATAGTGAATAGGTTGTTCAATGCAGTCATAAGCGGATCCTTCAAAACAACCATCGACTTTTGCCCATTATTCGAACTCTGCGCCTGTGGACTCTGCGATCCGAACATGGGAACACTCTCGCCCGTTTCGTTCAGTCGCAAGAGCTTATTAGACATGCCTAACGCATCCAAATCATCCATGTCCAAGTCGCAACGTACGCGTTTACGATTGTTGCCCCGATATGGATTCGAGTTGATGTATTCCAAAGTGGAAAATATGCAATACACACACAATTTCGCCAAGATGGATGATTGTGGTTCTACAAGCTCGTCACTTCTATGCAACAAAATTTACATTTAATGAATATTTTGAGGTGAGTTTATGTAAGTATAAAAGTTTGATGGAAGAAATGTGATGATTATATGATAAATTTACTGCAATGTAATGATTATATGATAAATTTATTGCGATGTAATGATTATATGATAAACTTACTGCAATGAATTGTGTAAGTACTGCGGTATTATGTGGTTTATAAGATCCAGAGTGCAATTCTCTATATCAAGATGGAAGATGGCAAAGGCCAGATCTACAGCTTGATCCAATTCTTCTTGATAACGATATTTCAATACTTCCTTTACAATATTCGTAACGAACCATAAAGAACCACCAGTATTTAACAGAGATTCCAGTGATTGTGTAGCTTGTATGTTTATCCACCCACGTTGATTTATGTTCTGCCAAACAGATTCCAATTGTTCCAGTATCGGCTGCCGTGAAATAATGCTGCACATATAAAAAAGCCGTGAAAATGACTATTTCAAAAACAATAATAAGAATTAATTTTTATAGAGCATCATAGTACCTATGGGACATTGAAAGCACCTTTGTTTTCGATTGTGTAGGCGGATGTACATCATATTGCATTTTCCGAATTATTTGAAACATTAAACTAGATCTGTGTAAAAGGATAGAGAAGCTTAAAAATCCCATATAATATACAAAAGAATATTCAAACATATAATAAGTTCATGTTTTCATTTAACGAAAAATGGAATTATATATTTTTTCTTTGCTAATTATACAATGATCCTATTTTTTTCTTATGCTAATACATGTACCTCTCTTTAAGATTGTCCTGCATATCGTCACCCGGCAACGGCGTCAGAAAATGCTGAACCATATTCATTGGTTTCAATAGAGCGTCTTGATGCGTAATACTCATGTATGCGCAAAGCCATGCTGCAGCGCAGACCGGTAGGCAGCACGCCGCAGTGCGCAAACCGTCTAGAGCCCTTTTGACATCGCCTGCACCCAGTACACCGCTTTCCCACGCGTTGAGTAACTCTTTCACCGCGGCCATCGCTGATTGGCACGCAACATGCCATTTCAGATTGCTTGACTTGAAATCAGGATCTGGCGATTTTATTTGCGCTAGCAGAGCATCTACCCTTGCCGGATCGACACTCTGCAGCATCTTCTGCGGCGACTTTGGCTTGTTTCGTTCCGGCATACATTCATACACCCATTGCTCGAAAAATGAGTCTCCACCTTCTTCTAAGACAACCTGTAAGCCAATTTACATTTATCTTATACAATATATATAGAATATAATCAAATGTATAAAGTTATGAAGTCTTTCTAAATGAAATTCAAATAGGGTGCAAACTTACGTCGGAGCCATATGTTTGTACTATAGAACACAACATAAGAAAAGATACATCGAATAACATTGCTCTTGTAGCTGCTGTTTTGTCAGGCACAGGCTCGTTGATCTGTTTACTGCTTTCGTTGAACTTGATAAGCTTAGCGACGAAAGTCTTCAGTTTCCCCTCTACAGTCGCAACAGCTAGCATCAGTTCAAAGCTATTTCCTGTCAAAACGTGATATAGCATGCTCAGTAATGCCTCTTGAATTTTCGTGTAATCGGCATTTAACGTCTTCAAGATCCCAGCTAGCGTCGGTTTTGCTCGTATAATGACCTTCGGAATGGACGACGTCGGAGTGCTGGATGGCTCTAATTTTTGCAGAGCCGCAGTCACTCCCTCCCTATAACGATTGCAAGATAATAGGAATATAATGGGAAGATAATAGGACTAGAAGATAAATTACATTGGCTCATTGTGTAAGAAATTTTAAAAGATAATATTTTGTGTATATATATATATATATATATATATATGTATATATATATCACCTTCTCGCGCTTATTTGCTTTGCCTGCTTCTCCGTCACAAGATTTACCTTCTGCAATTCATTTAGCAAACATTCTACATAATTACACGAACATGTGGAGTCCATTATATCGAGCAAAGGCGTAAACTGAAGCAACAATTCGAACGCATCTAAAATATCTTGCGAGTATTCGAATTTCTCGTCACCTACAAAAAAAGTAAAGAAAGACCGTTTCTCGACATCAAAAAAATCTTGAAAATGTTCACCTACCATTTAGAGTAGCCGAATGCAACTCTTTCAAGATGAGAGGCACTTTTAAAAAAGTAAAAGCTCCCCACTGCGACTCCTTGAATGTTCCTGTCACATTGTGCAAGCACATCAAACAAGCGCGAATTATCTCGCAATAAAGCCGCGCGTTCGTATAACTTTTTAATCTTTGCACCATTAATAGCTGATTAACGAATACAGCCGTTTCAGTGCTGGGATTCAATAACACTTGAACGGCAAAAAGTGGTTGCAAACAATGAGTAATGGACTCCATTCTGATTTTCTCAAGACAAAGACTCTCAATCTCCAAATTGCATAACTTTTTCAAAGAATCTTCTATTGGCACCACAGACTTTTGACTACTCGTCTTCAGTAATGTCTCAATTTCCTGACATTTCTTTGCAACATCTATATACAGATCTAAGAAAAAAGAAAAAAATTATGTATATAATGAACTATTAAGAAGTAAAATATTAATATTAATTTCTTCAACATAAGTATTAAATAGATCACTAATAACCTTTGTCATCGTATTTAGCTAGATACATCATCGCACACATAAAATCTGAATTCAACATCTGTTTCAAAATACTGGCAGGTTTATCTATTAGCTCACTCGAATGTGGAATAAGTGGATTACTTTGGGGTGTCTTTGTTAATGCGTGTAAATAACACTGTAAGAGCCAATGGACAATAGATAAAACTGCCGCTGCTAAGAGATCCTCTTCTGGTTTACCGCGACATGTAATACCGACTTGTATTGATTCCAGAAACTCGAGTAAGCTCAATATGCAATGAGGCTTGTGAAATGCATCGTATTTACTTATT